TGATGATTGATATATTATTTAACAACTTATAAGATATCTTTTCTCGTTGTGATTTCCCCATACCAGCGGCTCTTAATATTTTTCTCCCAAATTTGCATCATCGCCTACCTTTTTATGCTCTGAAGCGCCACCCACGTGAGTAATTATGACTGAAATACGCCAGTGGACTTGAGATAAATAAGTTCTGTATGTTGAAAATGATGTTCTTTATTTTTTAGCAACAACATGCATTGTCGTTTCAGCATTTTTCTCATTTTCACCAGCTTATTCCTGTTCACCAGTGGTCTCTTACAGGAAACTGGCAATAACGTATCAGAGTGGCGCAGCCAGGATTTTTTGGGCATTAAACAACAGCCGCTTGAGACGCAAAATCGATTAGACAAGCCACGGGCAAAGCGACTCGTGGACATACCATGGAGAAACTCTTTGCATCAGCGATCAACTTGCAAAGTTCTGCTCGAAACATATCTAGCTAGATACCGCAACGCCGAACAAAGAAAGGGTATGAGCGCTAACCAGCGGCGAATGACGCTTATTCGTCAATTAAACAGAGCGAATCGATTATCGATGAAAGATTTACGACGCAAAAACAGTTGTCAATTACGGGATATATTTAGGCAGATCGATTACGCACGCGCATCAGCAAAAAGAGTGTACAGACGCATGTACAGTGGAGTGCACAGACGTATCTTACGTGGTCAAACACGTCCGGGTAAAGCGGAACTGAAACAGTGTAAATACGTTATTGCTCAGTGGACACTTGGAATGCTCAGGTCTGGAATGCGTTCTGGAACAGTCGTCAACGGTATCAACGACGCATTAGGTAAGCGAAGAGTATAGATATCTTCAAACAAAGTCAGACCAATGGAAGAACATTCTCTATAGAGTTGAATAGATCTACTTGTCTGTCTTATTTATTGGAATCAGAGATGGGCAACTCCAACTCCGGAGTTGAGCTTCTTTTTAGTGGAGTTGGAGTTGAGTTGAAGTTTCGTTTTTATTAGATTAGAGTTGAGTTGAATTCAGATTTTTTCAACTCCAACTCCACAACTCCTGTTAAAAATTTTTGCAACTCTGAAAATTTTTTTTGTTTTTGTTACGTCACATAAAAGCAATATTAACATGTGTTCAACGTTTATATATTCTGAATATGTTAAACTTATGTGTATATATGCTACCGAT